TTAGAAATAAACTACAATAAAAACAACCCAAAATACTCAAACACTTGGAAGCTGAATAACATGTTATTAAATATTGATTGGGTTACCGATGACATCAAAGAAGAAATTAAAAACATCCTGGACACTAATGACAATGAAAACACAACAATCCAAAACCTCTGGGACACAATGAAAGCAGTCCTGAGAGGAAAGTTTATAGCTCTACAGGCCTATCTCAAAAAACAAGAAAAAATGGTAGTCAATCATCTAACTCTACAACTCAAAGAATTAGAAAGAGAGCAACAAGAAAACCCCAGAGTGAGCAGAAGGAAGGAGATAATAAAGATTAGAGCAGAAATCAATGACATAGAGACCAAAAAAACAATACAGAAAATCAATGAAACCAAGAGCTGGTTCTTTGAAAGGATAAACAAGATTGACAAACCCCTAGCCAGGCTCACCAAGAAGCAAAGAGAGAGGTCCCAAATAAACCAAATCAGAAATGATAGAGGCGAAATAACAACAGACCCCACAGAAATACAAATGATTGTTAAACAATACTACGGGCAACTCTACTCCAACAAACTAGACGACCTGGAGGAAATGAACAAATTCCTAGAAAAATACAACATTCCAAAACTCAATCAGGAAGAATCTAAAAACCTCAATAGGCCAATAACTATGGAAGAAATTGAAGCAGTCATCAGAAAGCTTCCAGCAAACAAAAGCCCAGGACCAGACGGCTTCACAGGGGAGTTTTACCAAACATTCAAGGAAGAACTAAAACCTACCCTCCTCAGATTACTACAAAAAATTCAAGAGGAAGGAACGCTTCCAAGCTCATTCTATGAAGCCAGCATCACCCTAATACCAAAACCAGGTAAAGACATCACAATGAAAGAGAATTACAGGCCAATATCCCTCATGAACATAGATGCCAAAATCCTCAACAAAATCTTAGCAAATCGGATCCAGCAGTACATCAGAAGGATCATACACCATGACCAAGTAGGATTTATCCCAGAGATGCAAGGATGGTACAACATCCGTAAATCAATAAATGTGATACATCACATAAACAAATTGAAAGAAAAAAACCACATGGTCATATCAATTGATGCAGAAAAAGCATTCGACAAAATCCAACACCCATTTTTGATAAAAACTCTCAGAAAGGTGGGAATAGAAGGATCATACCTCAACATAATAAAAGCCATATATGACAGGCCCACAGCCAACATCATACTCAATGGACAAAAACTAACACCATTTCCCCTAAGAACAGGAACAAGACAGGGATGCCCACTCTCACCACTCCTGTTCAACATAGTACTGGAAGTATTAGCCATTGCAATTAGGCAAGAAGAAGAAATAAAAGGCATCCAAATTGGAAAAGAGGAAGTAAAACTGTCCTTATTTGCAGATGACATGATATTATACATACAAAACCCTAGAGACTCCATCAAAAAGCTACTAGACTTAATACATGAATTTGGCAATGTAGCAGGATACAAAATTAACCCCAAGAAATCTGAGGCATTTCTATACACCAATAGTGAACTTTCAGAAAGAGAGATTAGAAAAACAATCCCATTTACCATCGCACCAAAAAAATTAAGATACCTAGGAATAAACTTAACTAAAGAGATTAAAGACCTCTACTCAGAAAACTACAGGACGCTAAAAAAAGAGATAGAGGAAGACATAAACAGATGGAAGAACATACCATGTTCTTGGATTGGTAGAATCAACATCATTAAAATGTCTATACTACCCAAAGCAATCTATACATTCAACGCACTCCCCATTAAAATACCAATGGCCTTCTTCAAAGATCTAGAACGAACTCTCCAAAAATTCATCTGGAATAAAAAAAGGCCCCGAATAGCTGCAACGATCCTGAGAAAGAACAAAGTAGGCGGGATCTCAATGCCAGATATCAAGCTGTATTACAAAGCCACTGTTCTCAAAACTGCCTGGTACTGGCACAAGAACAGACATATAGATCAGTGGAATAGAATAGAGAGTCCAGAAATTAGCCCGAACCAATATGCTCAATTAATTTTTGACAAAGGAGGCATGAACATACAATGGAGCCAAGATAGTCTCTTCAATAAATGGTGTTGGGAAAATTGGACAGATATATGCAAGAAAATGAAACTAGACCACCAACTTACACCATACACAAGAATAAACTCAAAATGGATAAAGGACTTAAATGTATGACAGGAAACCATAAAAATTCTAGAAGAATACAAAGGCAACAAAATCTCAGACATATGCCAAAACAATTTCTTCACTGATACAGCTCCTAGGGCAGTTGAAACTAAAGAGAAAATGAACAAATGGGACTACATCAAAATAAAAAGCTTCTGCACAGCAAAAGAAACCATCAACAAAACAACAAGAAAACCCACCTCGTGGGAAAACATATTTGCCAACGTCATATCTGATAAGGGCTTAATCTCCAAAATTTATAGGGAACTCATACAACTTAACAAAAAGAAGATAAACAATCCAATCAAAAAATGGGCAAAGGATCTAAATAGACACCTTTCAAAAGAGGACATTCAGAAAGCCAAGAGACATATGAAAACATGCTCAAAGTCACTAATCATCCGAGAGATGCAAATCAAAACAACAATGAGGTACCATCTCACACCTGTCAGAATGGCCATCATCAACAAATCAGCAAACGACAAGTGCTGGAGAGGATGTGGAGAAAAAGGAACACTTGTGCACTGCTGGTGGGAATGCAGACTGGTGCAGCCACTATGGAAGGCAGTATGGAGGTTCCTCAAAAAATTGGAAATGGAACTCCCATTTGACCCTGTGATCCCACTTCTAGGAATATATCCCAAGAAACCAGAAACACCAATCAGAAAGGATATATGTAACCAGATGTTCGTAGCAGCACAATTCACCATAGCTAAGATCTGGAAACAGCCTAAGTGCCCATCAGTAGATGAATGGATTAGAAAACTGTGGTACATCTACACGATGGAATACTATGCTGCTGTTAAAAAGAAGGAACTCTTACCATTTGCAACAGCATGGATGGAACTGGAGAGCATTATGCTAAGTGAAACAAGCCAGTCAATGAAGGAAAAATACCACATGATCTCACTCTTTCATGGATAATTAAGACCATTATAAACTTTCGAACAATAATAAATACAGTGGCAGAGCTGCCTCAAACCGATTGTCGGACTGCAGTGGGAAGGCCAGGGAGGGTTGGGGGACAGGAGGGAGGGGAGTAAGAGATCAACTGAAGGACTTGTATGCATCCATATAACCATAACTAATGGACATAAGACACTGGGGGGTAAGGGAGGGCAGGGGCTTTTCAAGGGTGGGGGGGAAAAAAGGACACTTATGTAATACCCTTTGTAATACTTTTAGCGAAAAAAATAAAAAAATAAAAAATAAAATAAAATAAAATAAAATAAATTACTAAAATCAAGTAGGTTAAGGCATGAGGAAATGATTCTACTCTTGCTTTAGCTTGCCTGAGAACTTAAACTTTTAAACTCTATATATATCTACACCTATATATCTATCTATATCTATATCTATATCTATCTACTTTAATTCTTTATATATCCTATAAATAACCCTCTGATTACCCTTTGTTTTTTTTTTCTCTGTGTGTGTTTTATCTGTTTGTTGGTTTGTTAATCCTCACCTGAGAATATTTTTTCCATTGATTTTTAGAGAGAGGGGAAGGGCGGGGGAGAGACAAAGAGAGAGAAACATCTGTGAGAAAGATACCTCGATTGATTACCTCCCTCACTTGCCCTGACCAGGGCCGGGGATCAAGCCTGACCGAGGTATGTGCCCTTGACCACAATTGAACCTGAGACCCTCAGTCAGGGGGCCGATGCTCTGTCAACTGAGCCAAACCAGCTAGGGTTGATTACCCTCTGAAGAATTAAGGAAAGAATGTTCATACCTCCAGACCATCTGAGATCCATTATCCAGAACATTGGATCTGAAAGAGTATCATCTGAGAACAATCCAGAAGCTAAGAATGCAGGACTGATTCTACCCCAAAATGTACTTTTTACTATCAGAACTCTCAGCTTTTCTTTCTTCTTCACAACACTCTGGGTATTGCCCACTTGTGAGTCTGATTTGAAAATCTTTACTACCCTTGAATTAATCTTTGTCATTTATTTCTAGCCAAAGCCTCCTGACTCATTTACTCTCCATCAACAAAGTGTATTCTTGACCAGATGACTTCAATGTGCTCTTAAATTCAACTATTTTGAGTTGGCACATTTATATTAAAAAGAGAAAGGCTGGTTCTTGAAGTTGTAAAATTGAGTTAATATAATTGAAAACTGTCTATAAAAGGAAGATTGTGAGTGAGATTTACATTTTGGGCTATTCTCTGTTGTGGTATGAAATGCCACAAAATGTGAAACTCTACATCTGTCCCAACCTTTCCTTCTTCCTTCTACTTCAAGGCCAGTGACTGCACTACCAATTCTGAAAACAGGAAGTTGTAGCAGAGGTTGTGTTTATTGTTCAAGCTCTCTCACTCTTCTAGAATTGGGGGGCGAGGGGAGAGGCTTAACTTCCTTTCACTATCAAATCCCCAATTAGGTGCCATCCTAAGTCTCTTCTTTTTCATAGACAAACTTTTCAGAGTTGTTAACACTTTCTCCACAGTCTCAGTCAGTTGCCATCACATTCATTCCTCAAGCCACTTTATTTTGGCTTCTCTGTCATTTCAACAGGTCTTCCTTTGCTTATGGCTGATTTCCATGACACTGATTCCTATGAACATCTTTCAAACCTGTGTCAAGGGCACTCAACATTCATCTTTTATTTCAAATGTCTTGGTGTCTGCTTGTATTCCACAACACTTGGTGCCCCTGGTTTCTCTCATACTTCTCTCCTTGCTTCTTTTCCTCCTCTGGAGGCTCACACTTCTCTACCCAGTTTTCAAAATATGGGAACTACTCAAGATAACAGAGCAACACCATTAGATACATTTAGAGGTTTCCTTGACTCACCTGTTGTGTCACCCAAAGGAATTGGGGAGGTCAACACATCCGGTGTGGCTCACAGGTAGCAAGGAGGAAAGGAGAAAAGACCTTGGAATTTTCAGTCTGGAGAGAGGAGGCTTAGGGCAAGCTGCTTTCCTTTTTTGGATTTAATTACCTCAATCAGAAGAAAGAATGAGTACCAGAGAATCCATATGGGTTATTCCAATTACAGCATTTATCCATTGTACTGTGTCTCTTTGCTTGCCTATCTGTCCCCTCCACCAGATTGTGAACTGTCCCAAGGAAAAGCTTACCTTGATCCTTCTTTGTTTCCTGGCATTGCCAGCGTAGGCTGGTGTACAGGAGGCAGCAGCGAGACTTGAACTGGCTCTATGCCTACTTCCTGAACATTTCCATTCTCTTACCTCCAGGCTGTTGAGGAAGAAGATGATGGAACCATGTGTTTTTGGACCTCTGCATGAAAGCTGCTATGTAAATTTAACTGGTTCCTCAATATTTTAACAACTTGTTTGCCAACGCCCTCGGCATTAATTATATAAACTCTGTGATTCTGAGACACTGCCAAATAACTTCTAGCTGGAGCAGGGGTGTTTGGGGGGGGGGTAGAGGTAGGCAAGGGGTGGGAAAGTCTAGGGAAGAGGGAGCTGAAACAGGTGTGGTACAAAATGGAACATCTGAGGCACCAGCTCTTGGTCCAGATGAAGTCATCACCTTTAACCCCTAACCTGCCAAATAAAACCTGGCTCCAGAGTCTGTGATAGCCACTTGAGGAGTGGGAGACAGTGACAGGGAGGAAAACAGGAAGTTGTAGCAGAGGTTGTGTTTATTGTTCAAGGCTGTAAATCCAGCACCTAACAGGTGCCTATCTTAGCATAAATGCATGAATGAATTAATGAATTGTGGACAATACCTATGAAGAAGGCTGGGAATTGGGGATAGCAGCTTAAAAAGCTGTATCTGTTGGATCCTACTGCAGCACCTAATAGGTAATAAAAATCTTATTACTGCCCTAGTCAGTTTGGTTCAGTGGATAGAGCGTCGGCTTGCGAACTGAATGGTCCCAGGTTCAATTCCGGTCAAGGGCACATGTCCATCCTGTGGGCTCGATCCCCAGTGGGGAGCGTGGAGGAGGCAGCCCATCAATGATTCTCTCTTATCATTGATGTTTCTATCTCTCTCTCCCTTCTTCCTTCCTCTCTGAAATCAATGAATATATATATTTTAAAAGTCTTATTACTTTCTAATTACTTTACTACATTTACTATTATGTATGCTCTAGAGGTAATTTGTGTCTCCTGGATACAGGGCTGGCTTCATAGGCATGGTAAGTTCAGAGGCAATGAGTGAGAAGATCTATGGGGAGATGAAGACAATGTTTATCACTCTGTGTAGTGATAAACTTTTTGACATTGTGTGCACAAGGGCACTGAAACTCTTACACCCCCACCTGCCCCAGTTAAACTCACAATGGTAAGTTCAGAGGCAATGAGTGAGAAGAGCTATGGGGAGATTACATTGGGCTCTGCAGCTGGCTTGAAAGGAGAAGAGCCCCTGAGAAGGCAAAAGATGGGTAGCTGGAGACCAAAGTAGCCAGGCCCAGTCCCCAGAGCCCTTTGGGAAAGTGGCTTGGGTCAGGCAGGATCCCTGGGGGTACATTGTCAGATGCTCGGTTTCTTTCTTCAAGGCTGTTTCCTGGAAGACACATGGGTTAGTTGGGTGGGTGAGGACCATGAAAGGGAACTTTGCAGGAAGGAAAAACAGAGCCAGCACTATCACAGACCTCAACATGACTGGCACTTTCTAGGACTGTGAGGTGCATAATGTATGCCACTGAACACAGAAACTCTAACAGACTTCAACGTGCAGAAGAGAATGTGGGGGCTCCCGCCTGAGTTAGAGCAGCACTAACCTACAAGCAATGGACAAGTCAGTTCACATCTCTGAATCTCAGTTTTCTCATCTGTAAAATGGGAGTAATTAGCCATTCTACATGAGGCAATCTATAAATTCTCTCACATAATACCTGATATATAGGATTTACTCAATACATTTCTGTTCCCTTCCATTTCCTATGTCAAGACATAGAATGCAGAAATAAGCAGCAAATCTGGACATTAGCTTAGGACTGGCTGGGAAAAACAAATAAAAATCTGCAGTGCTGTTTGCCAAACTGCCTGCCTTCATTGAGCAAGACCTTGGGCTGGTTCCTTAGGCGCTTGGGTGACTCTGGCCAGTGTATACATTAGCTAAATGCTTGCTGTGCTCTCTCCCCTCCTTTCCTGTCTTCCTTCTTCTTCATTTCCTTTATGCACTCAATTCATGCAACGTGCCCTTTATCAAGTACACACTATTTCCAAAGCCCTGTGGTGAGGCCCTTGGTGACCTGGAGATGTACCTGGGGATGTACCTCTGCACATGGGAAACTCACAGCCAGAGTAGAGTCAGGAGTCTTGGGTGTGAACCCCAGTTCCATTGTTAACTTGCCATGTGATCAAGCTTCCTTTCCTCATCTATAAAGTGGGAATTATGACAGTGTCTATCTTGTAGAATTTTCTGAGGATTAAATGAAAGAATTTGTAGAGCAGAATTAGTGCAGCATACAACCACATTAAATGCTCAAGGATGGCCAATTATATTATTAATATTTTTTGTCATAGATGCAAGCAATTATACGACAAAGCAGACCATGGGTAAGGGACTAACAGTGCTGGAGAGGCCCAGAGGAGGCAGAGTTTAGTCAGTGGGGGACAATAAAAACAGTGACACTGTCACCAGTGGCATCTCCTGGTTTCTCTCCTACATGGCCCTAAACCCAACACCAGCATCACTGTAGGGAGGAGGTTTGTGAGATCCTCGGGGACAGGGACTCTTTCCAGTGGTGAGTGAGTCTTAGAGGAAGCGCAGTCTGTCCTGCTCAGCTGCAGGCTGTGTCCGTGCTGTCTGATGTCATCGCAGATGACACAGGGCCATCCTGGAAACCAGGTGAAGGCAGCAGCAGCTGTCTTGTTACCTGCAGTGCGAGGATGCTCCCTTGAGCCCCTTCTCCAACTAGAGTCTTTTCCAGTGTGAGTAATGTAGAGAAAGCTGTCAATAGGAGGCCCATTTCTTGAGTGTTGACTCTGATGATAGAATGACCACCCCTTTGGGTTCCTGGAGAGAACAGGGAATGCTGGGAGAGAAAGAGGTGCAAATTGAAGATGAACAGAGTTGTGAAAGCCAAGGGAGCTGACCCCTTCCCACCTGCCTTGTGATGGTCTCTTCTGGTGAAGTTTCTCGAGAAAATGCTGTTTTCCAAACTCCATCAGTCAGAAACTTTGAATTATTCTGTCTCCTGGTTCCAGTTGAACTCATTAACACAACACCATTGATGCTGACCTTTCTCTGCAGCAGGCTCTCTGGAAACCTCTCACACCTCTGCCCCACATTCCTCTCTCCCTGTCTTCTCCCCTCTTAGGCTAGGCATTGGGCAGGGGTGCAAAAATTCTCAGCTGATGGAAGGAAGTTTATATTCATTTAAAAGAGACACACACAACTGAAGGGCCTAATATTTGGGGGATGAAATATCCCTTAGTTATTTTTATTGGTTGGATGTTGGAAATCCTCCAGGGTGTCCAGCCACATGTTAGGTGCTGTCAAGGGTGTATGTGGAAAGAGGAGGAAGAGGATCCACTTTGCTGTTTTTGGACATTTTTAGAGAGACTAACTCACATAACTAAAAAGCAAGAGAAACCAAAGAATGAGTGACCCCATGTTGCAGGCAGAGAAAGCAGAAGGAGTGGAGCCTAAGTTGGCTTTCTTAGGAGGGGTGAAACTCTGACAAAGGGAAAGAGAACTGGGCATTTTAAGTTGGGTAACAACATGAAGACAGCCTGGAGGCAGGGAATTGAAAATTTTTTTATGTTTCCTTCATTTTATCTGGAAGCAACTCAAAGATACTTATTCAATAAAATAGTAAAACACAAATGAAAAATGAGGACTGGGGAAGTGTGAGGGGAACCTAGTGGCTCTTTAATAAGGTGTTGCATAGTAGTTATATTTGGACTTCACAATTGGGTCTGAGCTTCTTAGTGACAAAAGGAAAGGGGGAAATATATATATATATATATCTCCTATCTAATAAAAGACAAAAAGGGTAATTAACCGTACCTCTGCTACGTTTCCCATTGGCTAATCAGCAAGATATGCAAATTAACTGCCAACAAAGATGGCAGCCAGCAGCCACGCAGCTGAAGCGAGCAGGAGGTTTGCTTGCTCCAGTGATGGAGGAAGCCAAGGTTCCCTGCCTGCCACAGCCTGCTCTAAGCTCCAAAAGCAACAGCTCCAAAACCAACAAAGTTTCAATTATAGAAGCTAAACAAACCCCAGATACCTGCTTTCAGCAGGCCGTGGCCTCAGAGCTGGAGCGAGCAGGATGGCAACAAAGTTTTAATTATAGAAGCCAAACAAACCCCAGATACCTGCTTTCAGCCAGCCACAGCCTCAGAGCTGAGAGCGCCAGTGAAGGCAACAGATTTTCAATTATAGAAGGTAAATAAATCCCAGAATAAAAAAGAAAAAGAAAAAAAGGAGAGGCTGGGAGCTTCAGTCACAGGCCAGCCTGAAAACGGCCCTCAGCCCCTCACCCAGACTGGCCAGGCACCCCAGTGGGGATCCCCCACCCTGAAGGGGGTGTGGCCAGCCTGAAAACAGCCATCAGCCCCTCACCCAGGCTGGCCAGGCACCCAAGCGGGACCCCCACCCTGATCTGGGACACTCTTCAGGGCAAACCAGCCGGCCCCCACCCATGCACCCTATATAGTAAAAGGGTAATATGCAAACTGACCCTAACAGCAGAAAGACTGGGAATGACTGGTAACTATGACACACACTGACCACCAGGGGGCAGATGCTCAATGCAGGAGCTGCCCTCTGGTGGTCAGTGTGCTCCCACATGGGGGAGCTCTGCTCAGCCACAAGCCAGGCTGATGGCTGCCAGCACAGCAGTGGTGGTGGGAGCCTCTCCTGCCTCCTCAGCAGCACTAAGGATGTCTGACTGCAGCGTAGGCCTGCTCCCCGCTAGCAAATGGACATCCCCCGAGGGCTGTCGGGCTGCCAGAGGGATGTCTGATTGTCATCCCCCGAGGGGTCCCAGACTGCAAGAGGGCACAGGCCGGGCTGAGGGACCTCCCCCCCGCAAGTGCACAAATTATATACATATATAATATATATATATGAGCTTGTCATTGTTAATGCATTTATTACTTCATTCAACCAATGGATATTAGCCTCTGTTCCTTTCCATTCCAGCTCCAGAGGAGAATACAAGCAGAACCCAAACATCTATCTTTTGAGGGGCTTCTGTGGGGCTCTGAGAGACACAGGAGTGACCTTATCTTTGATGGCTGGGTGCACACACACCTCTAGGGTCCTGGGCTTTCCCCTCACAGCAGTGAAGATGAGCGAGGGATAGAGAAATGTGGAGTCAGAACCCTGGGTCTGAGTGGCCACCCCATGTCCAGTGTGGCCTGACCACTTGGTGCACTTGTGTTCCTCTGAGTCCTGGGGTTGTGATGGTTGTGGAGTGGGGAAGTTGGGGCTGGAGCCTGCCTTCCCAGAGAGCCCTGTGGCTCCTCATCTCCAGAAAAGACTGGTTGTGTTGCCAGCAGGGATGATCTGGGCAAGATGACCTACTTGACCACGTGCACCAAGGAGAACCTCCACTTTTACCTGCCTGTGCCCCAGGTGTACTGCCAGCTGAACAAGCCTGTCAGCTTTGTGGATGGCCGCTCTCTACCTGCAGGTGTGATGGCATGGATTTGGGGCTCAAATGAGAGTTCCTGAGGATGCTTCTCTGACACTCTCTATGCCTTTGGCTCACTCTTTGCACCAATAGTGGAGAACTCATGCTTTGCGTTTGGCCTGGGTCCAATCCTGGCTCTATAACAGGAGTAAATTTCTCCACCTCTAAGGCTCTTTTTCCCCTTCTGTGAAATGGCTGTGAGGAGAGTACCTTCCTTACAGGATTGTTATCTGGATTAAATCGTCAGGGCTGTCATGGGCCACTATGCAGGTAGTGCCCTGAATAACTTCAGGAGGCACTATTCACATAGACTGTGATGCTATGCAGGGCCAACCAGTACAACCATATTTGGGGGCTTTGTAGAGTGTTCAACTCTGTATCTGGCCCATGGTGTGCATCCAATGACTGGTAGCAGTGAGTACTTCAGCATAATGTTATGAATAACTTGCCTTGAGAGTCAGTGATTCAAAAGCGAAAGAATGTAAGAGTCTTTGTCTGTCCTGCTTGTGCTGGGGTGGGTTCAGTCCTTTTTAATTCCATTCTACGTGTATCTGTGTCATGTGCTATGCCCAGTGCTGGCGGTATAGGAAGTAGTTGTGATGATGACCAAAAGCACTTTGCTGGGTGTCTTTGTTTAACTATATGGATGTGTTTTTGGAAAATTGCATAAGGAGAATTTGCCTAAAGCAAAAATAATAATAAAGAGCAGTAAATTTCTAAAGCAAGCCCCCAGGTAATCATTGCCAAGGTCAATGAATATGGAGTATGATTTCACAGGTATGTCTTCTGCCCTCCTGAGATGGATCTCTGTGGCACTCGTGCAATTGTCAACGTCTGTGTCACAGACACCTGGTGCTCTGGGTGTATGGGCTTTAGCTAGGAAAGGTGGCAGAATGATAGAGGAGAGCTTTCTGGAAGATTTGGTGCTTAAATCAGGCCTTGAGGCTGGGTGAGGTATGAGGTGCAAAGAAGGAATTTTGGGGATCACCTCAGGCTGGGGCCACACGAAAAATCAGAGATCTTCCCCAGTCACCCCTGCAGCAGCTGCCTGATGGCTACATATACCTCTAGGGTTCAAGGTCTAAGGCCATTAGTGAGCTCCAGTCCAAGAATTAGACATTTATAGAAGGGAGGGCACCTGATGCTGTGGGACGGTCAAAAGAGGAGAATTATAGCCCTGGTATGTGGGGATGTTTCTATGTTGCCCCGGGGATGGAACATCTTGAGACACATCCTTCCTGCTATAGAAGGCCACAGCCCTGGACGGTTGGCCATGGGCACCTGCTCATTCCTGCAAAGCCCTGTTAAGACCTAGACCTTTTTGCCCACCTAAAGTTGGGATGCAGAGACCTAGACAGAGTGTTCACCATGTCATCAACATCTCTTTCTGTCCTGGCCCTAGATAGACCTTTCTCTGCACAAGTGAAGATAGTTTCAAAGCTGTTACCTGGGAGTTGAACTCAGTGGTCATAATCAACCTTGGCCCATGGGTGGCGCCCAATTTTAAGACTTGTCTCCTTTTCTTATCTGTGGAACGTCAGGAGGCCTGTGAGGCAGGATTGGAGGAAGCCATTATCCTACTTCAATATTAAGGGAAGGACTCTGCCAAGATGCTCATCAGGGAGGCGTGTGAGCTGAGCCTTCAGTTTCTGGATTCTTTGACCAAGGCACCATAGGTAGTGTTGACTCTCTCTGAGGACATGTGTTGGTGAGATATAGAGCTGAGAGTTCTGGAGCCAGAGGGAAAGCAGAGACTCCAAGTGTGAGGGGAGGACAGAGGTTGAGGACTGGAGAGCACCAGGATGAATTCCACTCCATCCTTCCAGCTCTCTATCACACCCTGCTCCCTCTCTGATCCCAGGTACTTGTGGCATGAGAGTGTAGATAGTGTGGTGTGTGAGGGGCACACATGGGTGTGGATGCACAGGTGTGTCTCTATGTATGTATCATGCAGATGTGCATGAGAGCATGAACTCAGCCTGGGTTTGTCCCATTGTCTGAAGCAGGAGGATCATTCTTGGTCCCTCCCCTGACTCCTGTGAATTTCTGTGGTTAGAGCATTTGACATGGCTGACCACCCAGAATTACAAGTTCCTATTGTCCTGTGCACTCTTAGCATGGCCACTAAATCCTTCTGCACCACCTGATTTCCAGGGACCTGCCAAAAGTCCTGTACAGGATGCTCTCAGCTCACTTCCCTGCTCTATATCTCAGTCAAACACTGTTTGTCCACTCTGCCCCTTGTTAGAGCAGTGACCTGGGAGGCCATGGGACTGGGAGGGAGAGCCTTGTTGGAGGAGAAGGCCTTCAGGGAGGCAGAATTAGGCATCCTACTGCAACAGGAGGGGTGCCTGGAGGTCTGTCTATGGCAGTGGTTCTCAACCTTCCTTATGCCACAACCCTTTAATACCGTTCCTCATGTTGTGGTGACCCCCAATTTCATTGTTACAAATTGAACATAATTAAAGCACAGTGATTAATCACAAAAACAATATGTAATTATATATGTATTTTCTGATGGTCTTAGGCGACCCCTGTGAAAGGGTCATTTGTCCCCCAAAGGGGTCGCGACCCACAGGTTGAGAACTGCTGGTCTATGGCATTCAGGACCCTGACTTAGGAATGGCATGGGGTTGGATAGGAGGAGGACTTATGTTCAGAACCAGCAAGAGAACAGGCTTGGGTTGAGAGGCTGATGGAGGAATAAAAAAGGGAACAGAGCCCAGAGTCAGGGGACCATCAACCATGTAGTCACCAAATGTGGCAGGAAGGGGAAGACAAAGGAGATAAAGAAAAGACAGACACTTCTTATTGACATTGTAAAATTTTTTCCAGGGAGGAAGAAAGAAGGAGAGGGTGTGGAGATGACAAATGGGTAGGAAACACACAGAAGGCCACCAGGAACACAAACTGATGGTAGTCACACGGGGACCAATTAGGCTCAAGAATGGCTCCCAAGATGTCCACAGTCTATTCCCTGCCAGGTGTGACTATGTCCTGTTTCATCTGTGTGGCCCATGTAATCATAGATGTCCTCATAAAAGAGAAGGCAATGTGAAGACAGAAGCAAGGAGACATTTGAAGATGCTGCTGGATTTGAATATGCAAGATGGCTCCAGGAGCCAAAGAAGTAATAATGCAGCTCTAGATGCTGGAAAGACAAAGACAGAGGATCTCTCCTAGAGCCCTGGAGGTTGGGTGGCCTTGCCCACACCTGGGTTGTGGTCCAGTGAAACCCATGTCAGACTTCTGACTCCAGAACCCTAAGAGAAGAAATTTGTGGTGTTCTAAGTCACTGAGGCTGTGGTAAATTATTATAGCAGCTAAAGGAGATGAATCCAGAGAAGCACAAGCAGGCAGAAAGTGAAAAGTACAGAGAAAGGGGCAGACGGGCAGAGGATGCGAAGGAGGACATCAGGTGGAAGGGCAGGTGTGCAGGTGGAAAGCAGGAATTGGGGAGATAGACAGGGAAGGGCAGGAAGGAGTTCCTCAGAGCTTGCCCTTGTCCCAACAAGGACTAGAGGAGCTTTCTGAGCTTCAGGTGGATCCCATTCTTGGATTCCAAGACGATATTTGGGAGGGGGATGGGAGCTTGGAGAGGATCTGCCGCCAGCTCAAAGCGAAGCAGGGTCAAGGCTACGGCCACCTTCAGCTCCTTCATGGCGAAATGCTTCCCAATGCAGTTCCTGGGCCAAGATGACAATATGAGGAAAACAACATGAAAAACGGTATCAAATCCTGTTTTCAGCTGGGCAGGCATTTGTCACTGAGCCCTTGCCAGGAACAGGGTGTTCTGATGTAAGTCAATCCAATCCCCTTCCTTTTAGGTCATGTACTTCTACCCCACAAGCTTTGCCTCACATTCTGCCCTGAACTTTGACAAAACCTATCTCTCTTCCAGAAGTAGCTCCTAACTCCTACTTCTGTTCTCAGCAGGCATGAAATCCTGTTAGGGGATGGTCAGCACCTTAAGCAACCAAGTCAAGTCAAGTGATTCACTACAAAGTTAATTATTAATTTGGTCACGCCTTCCACAATCAGTTTCTGGTTTCACAATGTTGAGGCCAGGTCAAGGCATGACATGGAGTAAGGTGGTCACCACACTTAGTTCCCCACTTTCTAGGGGCACACACTGGGACATTGATCCTTAAAGAGATGGAGATATGTGATCACTGTAAAGAAATCAGAAATGCAACAGGGGAGTTTCCTGGAACAATCAGGGATTAGTGAGCTTCACCCAGTTGCACCACCTGCCTCCCAATGAATAGTCCAGACTCCTGCCTCTCCCTCATCCCCTCAGTCAACCAGCTTCTGTAGCCTTCCTATTCTACTACAGAAATGTCTTTCCTTGGCATCCATCAGTCTCCTCACCTGGACTTTTCTGTCTCTCTGCCTCCTCTAACTCTTCACTGAAGCTATTGCCCAACTCAACTCCTTCTAGGCCCCCAATCACAGGTAGGACATGTCCAATGCCTCAGCTGACATCAAAGCCATACATGGGTTGTTGCCTCACTCACCTCTTACCTGTCCAGCTCCACTTCCTAACTCAGCTCATGCTGTTGAGATCACAGAGAATGCCCTCCCTGTACCTCTGCCTGCCACATGTTCACGTCTGATCCCCATGACATGCCATCCTCACCCTCCCTGCTAGCGGTACCCCTTCCTCCCAGGACCCCCAAAGCAGCATTAGTCTTTTATTTAAGAATACCTCACCATCCTGTGCCCTGGACAGTGCAAGGAACATGGAACATTCAACAGTGTGCTCAGAATGAGCGAGTGAAAGGATGAATGAATATTGTGTCGTGAGTAGAGGTATTTGTTTCTTGACTGTGAACTCCTGGAGGCTGGGACAGTATCTTTCCCATTTCCTAGTACAGGACTTGGCACACAGGCACAGGCTTAAGAAATACGTTTATATTGGAATGAAGTCAATTGAATTGAAAAAGTAAACATTGGAAAAAGAAAAAAAAAGTAAACCTGAGTTCTGAGCTAGGGATTGAGCTGCCTAGTGCTCTCCTGCCCTCTAGTGGCAGGCACATGACTTCAAACCAAGGTCTATGAGGAAGGACTCAATCCTGGGAGAAACCAAATGGTACAGCCAATCAATCTCTGGAAGAAAACTTTGTAAAAATTGTGTTCTGTGAAAGTTGATTCCCATCTGAAGAATTCATAGACTTAAGGATTCAGAAAAAGCTTGTTTCTCCCCCCTCCCCTTTTTTTTGGTTTTGTCAAACCTCACCCGAGTGTTTTTTCCCCATTGATTTTTTTCTGAAAGAGTGGAAGGAAGGGAATGGGAGAGACACACAAAGAGAAACATCGATGTGAGAGAGACACAATGACTGGTTGCCTCCCTTACGCACCCCAATTGTAGCCGTGGATTGCCTGCACCCAAGGTATGTGCCCTTGACCGGAATCAAAGCTGTGACCCTTCAGTCCCTGGGCCAATGTTCTAACTACTGAGCCAAAGCAGCTAGGGCAGAAAAAGCTTATTTTTAGTAATCAATTACAAAGTTTGTGGAAGTGACTATTTTACAGGGGGGCTTCTGTAGCCTTTGCAGATTTTCAAACAGCAGGCGTTCTGGAGTACACTCGTCCAACTTGATTTCAGTTGTTTCAGGTATGCCTTATATTTTACACACCAGGAGCCTTTCAAATGCTGTGTGTCATATGCAAAGTAGTGGGTTTTCTCTCAAAGCAGTGATTGTCCTTCTTTTTAAGATTTTTGCCAAGGTTGGACTGTGTAAACTTTGGAACTTTGCTATATAAAACCCACTTTATATAAAGAATTTTTTTCTCCTGGAAAAGTATTCATGCTTTTGTGCATATTAATATACAAGCCATGCTGATGTGAATATCAATATATTAGTCACATTTACCTGGTACGTGAATATCAATGTACACTCAAGCTTTTGTAGGATAGTCTGCAAAATCGGAGAGTCACACATTGGAGTGAAACTCTCTTCAAATGGCTAGTAGGCCTTTCATGATTAGGGTTTGAGCAGTTAGGACAAGGAAGGTGCTAGAAATCCAAACACATGCAAATGTCACAGATACAGTGAGTGACAGATCAATGAAGTAGAAAAGGCAGTTCCTGGACTGGACTGTGGGAAGAGAAAAAACGTACCTCTTTTTAATATTACTGATAATTGAGAAAAGCAATCTGAAGTTTAATTTGTATAAAAAACTTTAACTCTGAGAAGTCATATTCCTGAAGTGAGAAAATCGCTAGAATCACTGAACTTTAAAACAATGACTGACACTGAATTGTGGTAGGCCATTGGGAAAGTAGTCATTTGAGGAGTTTTGGAGCAATATGTGCCTCTCTATTTTTGCAGTCTCCCCACAAAAGTTGGACTTCATATTAACATTCACATAACCATGACATTTACATTAGGCAAAATTCTATATATAAAGTGGGATTTATATACCATAGTTATACTGTCTACACAGTCCAACGTTGGCAAAAAGCAAAAAAAACATGACAATCAATTGCTTTTCAGAGAAAATCAGTGGATCAAGTGTTTGTGCCCTGCCCTGAAATGCCACCTTTCTTTTGTACACATAGAAAAACGCCTCCTTCTCAACACAACAATATACAAGGGCATAACAGCAGACACCATATAAGTGTAGGTCACAATCATCAAGATATGCCCCCGGTGATGCTCACCACCCAAGTACAGGATGCCTCACCTTGATCCTCCTGAGAAGGGCAGGAAAGCATGGCTGTGTGAATCAGAACCCGGTGCAAAACGGGAAGGGTCAAACACCTGCAGAGAGAGCAGTAGGGCCAGGACAGGTTGGGTCAAGGCCCTCCTTCCAATCCATGAGGGCACAGGAGTAGGTGTTGTCAGAGAGATCAGCTCATCCTCCCTCCCACAGCCCATCCTCCCTCCTACAGCCACCATACCTCTGGGTTAGGCCACACCTTCGGATTATGGTGAAGTGCATAAAAGTTAAGTGAGACATGGATTCCTGTTGGGCAGGGAGAGGAGAGAAGACTGATTATACACATGCCAGCAGGGGGCAGGTGCATGCACAAAAACTTGGGAGCCACAATGAGAGTCACTCTGAGTGGATTGATCCTATTGCAATAGAGGTGGGGTGAACATGGCAAAGCACATGTGCACACATTAGGAGTCTATAACCATGACCCAGGAGTGAGGAGGAAGAAAGAAGTGAAGGCCTACTTTTGGAGCAATTCAAGGTAAAGCTCACATTTATCAAGTGCCATTCACGAGTCTCTTGGAGATTATGCTTTAACTCATTTATCCTCACCACAACCCTCCAAGGAAGGTGCTAATATATATTTCTGTGGTTCAGATGAGACACCTGAGCTTCTGAGAGGCCGAGCAACCTGCCTATGATCACAGAGCTAGGACGTAGCAGGGTTGGGATACAGACCACCAAAGGTGAGCTAAAGAGTGGCCTCCAACCATGGCAGTGTTCTCAGATCTGGTCATCAGCTGTTCTCTGATATCAACCTGAGGGCTCCTTAGGGACTGCACCATAGGCCTTATGACAGTGGATTTTCTGATCTCCCTCATTTGCCAAGATCCCATAAGAAAGAAACCACATCTACACCTACCCCTGAGAGAATTAGATTAGAGTGAAATTCCGAAAGCCACAACAGAGTCCAACATTTCCTGGTGAGGAAGATTCCATGGACCGAGTCAGTATTATATTAGCTGCCATTTATACAGTTTGTTTGCATTTGTCAAAGAGGGGTTATGCATACATTACCTCAGATATGGAGGATTTTAAAATAGATGTGACCATGCAGACAGAATTGCCCCTAGAGTCTTGTAATCTGGCATTGGGATGGGAACATGGAGTGTTAGAATCATAGAGCATCAGTGCCATCAAATGGAATTACTGTAGCAGGATAAAACCATGGATTCTACATGTGATGGACTGTTAGTCCTGGAGAATGATAGAAGCTTAGGATTCTATTCATGTGAGATGTCTATTTTGGTGGATGTACTGAAATGATTTATTCTCTCTGAGTTGGAAGAAGAACTAACTTATTGAACTTTTGCTGTGGTCCAACTCAGTGCCAAGCACTTTACATTCTTCATCTAAACTATATAGTAAGCATCCAATTAATGATGAAGAAACTAGACCAGAGAGGTTCAGAACTGCTCTAGGATATGTGGGTCTGATCTGCCACGGGTTATGGCAGAATTCCTAGGTTAGTGAGTGTGGTGAAGTCCAGACCTCTGGGTAAGGAGCGTCCATCAGGGAAGGTGATGGGCTTGCTGAGCTCTCTGCCAACAGCTGGTACAGGTGGATAGAGTCGCAGTGCCTCCTTGATGCACATGGTGGTGTAGGGCATCTGATCCAGGTGATCCCTGGAATGAATGAAGCCCAATCTGAAGGCAGGCAGGGCCCAGGCAGACCAGGGCTTCTTGTCTAGCTGGGTGGGCAGGGCTCTCCCATCTCCTGAGCACTCACCAGGTGATGGAGGCACCATCCCCCAGGAGGCTCTGGATCTCCTTGCGGCACCTCTGCTGATGCTCAGGGTGGGTAGCCAGAGCATAGAGGATCCAGGAGATGCCACTGGCTGTGGTGTCATGTCCCTCAAACATGAATGTGTCCACTTCAGCACGGAGGTCCTTGTCAGACAAGCTACTCTCATTCTTCATCTGGAAAAGGCAGACAAGAGTGCACAGCTTGCCCACTTCCTCTTTGCTTCTGGGCAAAGCCTCAGGTCCCTTCTACAGACACTCACTCTGGCAAAGAGGAGGATGTCCAGGAAATCCAAGTTCCTTTTTCTCCTGACCTTCTCCAGCTCTTCCTCCTCCTGTAGGTGTGCCTTCCTCAGCTTGATCACTCTGTCTGTCCCAGAACAGTGGTTCCAAGGAAGAGTTGAGAGCAGAATGCCCAGAAAGAGAAACCCACAGGGACCCCATCTGCTCCCCACCCTGCTCCAATAGGGGTGCTAGTGAATCAGGATGAGTGTGGGAGTGAGTGTGCACATGAGGGGTGTGAGATCTAGCACATTCTGATTCCAAGTCAGGCTTCCCTTTAATAGCACACCCATGGAGTAGGCTCTGCTTGAATGCTGCTTGGAGGGGGTGACATCACCAATGTGGTGAGACATACAAACTCTCACACTGTCCCTTGCACCCTGACATCTTGGTCCCTAAGGTCAGCAGGGATCAGACTCTCCCTGAGGGTCAGTGCCTTTGAGATGTGCGTGATGAAGGAGGGGAGAAGCCCAGGAGGTGGAGTCCAACCTGTGTGTTGGTGGGCGAGCTGGCAGGCCCGCTGGTTCCAGCGGCCCTCAGGAGTCAGCCAGTAGATGATGTCGTTCTGGTAGAAGAAATTCCTCACTCGAGAAATAAAGAGAGTTTTCACATCCCTAATGGCCTGGATGTAGGATTGGGATTTGCTGCAGAGAGGAGATACAGAACAGACTAGGGTCCTAGGAGGCCTCTGACCTGGAGGTGAAGTGGGGCTCTAGGTGGGAGTTTCCCCCAACAGTGGATACAGGTGGCACTGAGGCATTCATTGCTCTGTCTTACAGCCCTTGAGACTCACAGTCCTGTATAATTGTTGTGAGCAACCTGTGCCAGGTATTAGAGATCTGTGGCTGACTCAAGCTTTGATCTGGACTGGAATTTGTCCGTGGTCAGGAGCTCTTAACAAACTCTTGCTTTTTCATAAAAATAAAAACCCTGTAGCTGAAGGATTATCACTGACCTGTCTGTCTGGACGCTGCCCTTCTGGCTGAAGGCGCACTTCATGATGGTGTCCAGGGTCATCAAGGAGATGTGTTCAGAGATCTCCAGGTGAGAGTCCTGGCTGATGAGCTCCTCCCATTTGTCCTGTGGTCGGAGGTGGACATTAAACCTATTCTACTCCCCCAGGGCATCTCTGCTCTCTGGTCTCTCCAGATACCTTACTTTCCAGAACAGAGGCATTGTAGTATATTAAGACTGTAAAGTGCCATGGCCAGTATTCTCAGTGGTTAGAACATCGACCCATGCACCAAAGGGTCGTAGGATCGATTCCTGGTGAAGGGCATGTACCTGGGTTGCAGGTTCCATCCCAGGCTCTAGTTGGGGTCCATGGGGGAGGCAACCTATCAATGTGTCTCTCAAATCGATGTTTCTCTCTCCTTTCTCTCTCCCCTGCCCTCCCTTCCACTCTCTCTAAAACTCAATGGAAAAAATACACTTGGGTGCAGATTAACAACAACCAACCAAACAAAAAGATTTAAAGCAAATGTTAGTAAAGTGAGGACTATATTCACATAAAGTTTGATTATTAATTAAACAGGTTCCCTCATAATAGTCTGAATTAGTTTTCATTTGCAGAATAAATTATGACGGTAACTACCTTTTACCAGACCAGAAAACGTTGTTACTCAGAGGACATAGGGTGAATCTTCTCTGTCCTGAGATTGAGCTAGACCTGAAGGACAAGTGCACTCCAACTCTAGGAAGCAAATATGTCAAGGCAAGAGGCAACCTAAGTGGTCAGTACTGGGGATCCTAAGGATGAGACATCAGGGACTTTAATTTCTTCCCTTCATCAAGTGTTAGCTGAGCATAGCTGGTAGGATCAGGATCCGGGTCTGTGAGTGCAGTTGTAATCTCCATTTTCTTCAGTGGAGTTGCTCAGTTTCATGCTGAAGCCCTGGCACCCAGGCTATAGCCCTCCTGAAGGATATCCTGGGATATCCACCCTGTCACTGAAGCTGCCACTGCCCAGGCCTGCGAGTGGCCATTTGTCTTGTTGTCCAGGGGAATGACTATTGCTCTAGTCCACTGTGCTGAAGACATGGAGGTGAGAGGTGAGCAGACCCTGTTTCTACCATGGTTCTGCTTTCTCTTGGCAATGACCAAAGTAGTGTGGATCCAAGCTGGTGCCCAGGTACCTCCTGTCCCATCCACTTTGGGAAGCTCTGTCACATTGTGGGATATGAGCATGTTATTCTAGCTGGTTGTGTGTGATGGATGTCTGAAGGACACTCATATCCTAGTGGACTATATGAGCTGTGCTGCAAGTGGGTGTGAGCAGGTGAGAGAGGGATGGACTTACCAGCATCACTCGGACAGAGTCAGCCATGAGCCCTACGTAGGGCTTCAGGATGTCATAGTGGAAGGCTGGGGTCAGCATCCGCCGGTGTTGGAACCAGGTCTGCCCATTCAGCAGGAGCAAACCATATCCTGGACCACAGAAAGGTGTGTGTGGGGCGGGGGCGGGGAGATGGAATCAGAAGGATGATTTGGGACAATTTGGGAGGAACCAAGGGTATCAGAGGAAAGCAAATGATGAGCAAAGGCAGGAAAGGCCAGTACATTCCAGGAAGATGAATTTCCTAAAATGGCAGGTAATAGGAGGTCATCACGACAGCTGTGAGATAAAGGCTGAAGTAGAGTAGGCAGGTCATAGAAGATCATCTATACTAATAAAAGGGTAATATGCTAATTAGACTGGAATACCTTCCAGGAGACCTTCCAGACCTCCTTCTGGACAAAGCCATGTTGGAGGGGCCAAGGCAGAGGCAGTTAGGAGTGAGTAGGCTGGCGGGGGGGGGGGGGAGTTGGGGGCAATCAGGCTGGCAATGGGGGGCAGATGGGGGCAAGCAGGCCAGCAGGCAGAGTGGTTGGGGGCAATCAGGCAGGCAGGCAGGAGAGTGGTTAGGAGCCAGTGGTCCTGGTTTGTGAAAGGGATGTCCGACTGCTGGTTTAAACAGGGATCAGGCCTAAACCGGCAGTTGGACATCCCCTGAGGGATCCCAGATTGGAGAGGGTGCAGGCCAGGCTGAGGCACACCCTCCCCCCATGCATGAATTCTATGCACTGGGCCACTAGTAAATGAATATTACCCTGAAAACATTGGAGAGCACGGGAAGAAGCTGAGTTTCAGGGGGGCTCTTGCCACCACCCGGGATGAGTGAAGGTTTTATTAGAAGAGAAATCAGGCTTAATTCAGAGATGAGGGTGGTGTTATAGTGCTGGTTATCTGTTGTTCTCTGTGAGCCAAAGAGATAGCTCTTGGTAAGTCTACCTGGCAGGAGAACAACAGTCCTGATTATACATACTTACCAATCCAGGGAGCCAGGAATCTGTATGAACCATGATTCTTTGGGTCTGAAAGGAAAGGTAGGACAATGGAGGAACCTAGAAGGAACCAAACAAGGCAGGCAGTCCCCAGGAGGGCTGTGGCCCAGACCACGGGCTGCCATCACTTCCTAATCATTGTCAGCTGACAATTTGTCTCAAATGACCTCCCACATGCCTCCTATTCCCAAGTCTCTCTGTCCTAACAGTCACTGTGGGCTCAGGAAGGCAGACTCAGTATCCCAGCAGCAGAACACCAATAGGACTAGAATGGTGACTGTGCCAGAAATATAGGCTCTATCCTCAGTGCCAGAGAAAACACATCAGTCTGTGGTCTTCCTACCATTTGTGGAATCCTAGTTGTCCCATGCCTCAGAAAAGGCAACACTTAAAGGTGCCCAACCTAAGTCAGGACTGAAAACAAATTGTTTTTCAGATCTGGTCAAATTTACATAACAGATCATCTCAATCTAAGAGAGGGAGAGGGAGGGAGGGAGGGAGGGAGGGAGAGAGAGAGAGAGAGAGAGAGAGAGAGAGAGAGAGAGAGAGAGAGAGAAGAAAAAATTGGCCTCACATAGTTGTTTAAGCATTCAGTTTAGAGAGATATTATTGGCCTTAAGCTGGCTTGTGGGCTGGCAGGGTAGTTGGTAGATGGTTCAGGTAATGAGGGCAGAACTGCAAACTATTCTGGAATTCCACAAGCCAAATAACATGTGCCCAAGAGGAAAGAGCTGCTCCAGCCACAATGCAGGTTTCTGTCTCACCTGATCTTCCCAGGACCACCTTCATGTAGTCAGGGTCATAAACCATGAGGCTGACTCTGCTCCCCCATAGCCAGCGAGGACAGGCACATGGGAATTTCTCTACCCATTTCTGAAACTGTTGTAGCTCCTGGTCCGTTTGGAACTATAAGCAAGGGAAAGACAAATCAATAAAACCTTTCTCTTTAGGTCTGGATTTTGGAGTGATGGTGAAGGGTAGAATGGCCACAGGGAGAATTCAGGATCCATCAGCAGTTATTAGGAGCTTGGAACTGTATCTGATGAGCCAGTTCTGATCTGGATTCTCGCTCTTCATCAAGATTTGGTTTAAGGTGAGATTCTGGCTTTTTGGTGGATCCTCACTCAGAATTGCTTTTTAGAATCTTACACATAGTATATGTTCGATAATTGTTCTGTTATTGGATTTGTTTGATGTACTTTCCTTTTTCTTAAAACTTATAT